ACATAGATGAGAACACTTAAGTTTAAGGTTTTATTAGTTAGGATGACGTTATCTATTATCCATAATATGTTAACACTAGCATTGATGGCATCATGAATACTGATCTAACACTTTTAGACTGATAATAAAGACGCACATTAATATGATTTATTGTTCTGGACCTCTACTTACTGTTCTGATCATGTATGACTTAAAGCATCTTCAAGATTACACTTCAGAAAGTTCAATGTATACAGAACATTGAGCATTCTTTTTTGTTGAAAGTGTGCACACTGTAGATAAAGACAATCAAAACAGAGATTTGTAATTAAAATTTCACATGTTTCCCACTCACTGAAGACAACCAAACCCTTTAGAAGGTTAGTTTACCTTGTGTGGTTACGACTCAACCCAGAAATCGCCACAGATCACCAGTAATTCGGCAGAACGAGCACCATTTCCACCGAAAATGCTCCTGTCAAAAATGTAAACGTTTCCATCCCGACGGCAAATATGTCGTGAACTTTAACCTTCGTTCTCGTTCCCAGACCACTGTGTACGAGATTAGTTCACTGCGCCTGTGCAATAACCTTTGACCGACTTCAACGGTTTTGAAAAAAAATTTCAGGTTCGGAGAGGTCATGTTTTCTTGCTGTAAAGACGATTTGGAAGAAATAGCGGATACCTGGAGAGTCTGTTACAAGCCATGGATGTCCTGAGTGTTGCACAAAGCGTTTGGAGCGCTCTGTGTTGTTTTACGTTGGAGTTAGCAGTGTTTGTGATCGTCGATACGTTTACAAAGTACCAACTCAAATACGCCAGGTGAGTTCGTACAGCAGTACTTAGTGTCAACGGCTCCATGTGGGTCATATATATATATATATATATAATAAATTTTGGTACTCTGTTGTAATTTCGTAAGCCTCATAAGCCGTTTATACCGAAAAATAATATTTCATCATCTTCAATACTGCTCATTCCTCTAAGCAGTTTATGATTTTTCCCAAGTTATGACCCGCCCACCTCTGTCAGAAGTAATAGTGCAAATTAGAAATGAGAAAAACTGACATGCAGCCAATCCCTCGTTGGTGAAACTGCTAGTTTTTATGGACAGCTGGGGTTGGTGTACATGTATTTTATAACTTAGATATTACCATTATAAACATTACTGTGGTTATACCATCTAACCCATAATAATATCTCCTAGATTCAGTGTAAAAGTTTTGTTAAAATATTTAGTTAATCTTTTTTTTGTACCATTCATGCAGCACTGAGGAGGAGAAGACCCGAATATGGACAGTTGAGGGAGGCTTGCTGACGGTGATCACCCTCCTGTTGCTGCTGTGGTCACATGTCCCATACACCCTCCTCCTGCTCACAGCCTCCATACTCGTCTTCATCCTCTTCCCTCATCACTGGCTTCATACAGCCAAACAGTCCCTACAGGAGGGCTCTGACAGAGTACAGCAAGTTCTCAGGAGTCTGAGACAAACAACAGACGTGCCATCTATAAGGAGAAGGTCAACCTCATCATCTATCACAAATGAAGAAGATGTGTCTGTCATGTCTTCGCTTTATGCTCCAACCAGAAGGACCAAGAGTTCCTTGTCAAATGCAAGACAGATACACACTACTAAGTCTCTGCCTAGCACAAATGTACGACAATTAAGTTCAGATTCCCAGACACAAAGTGACAAGACACTTCTCAGGAAGCCGAAAAAGCTTGATACTGTTGGTTTGAGTCCAGGCAGGAAGCTGAGTTCAGGGTTAGGAGTTCCCCCCAGGACTAATAATAGGATATCATCAAGTGATACAGGTCTGGATATTGGTACAAACTTCAGAAATCCTGTTACCTACTCCCCATCAAAGTATGGGCTAAGAGCAAGACCCTCACCTGTGAAAAAGACAGTTTTGGACATTCAGTTACCTCCAGGTCTCCAGAATGGAGGGCAAAACATATGCTTCATGAACTCTATCTTGCAGTGTTTAGCACACAACCCCATATTGGTAGAGGGCCTCCAGATGGCAATGGAGCAACCAACGGTCAACCAATCAGGAAGCAGCTTACTGCTGACTTTTGTTGAGCTTGCTGCAGACTGTCAGAGGCACAGAGACAAGGACGGTTTGGTTATTGATCCTACGGCTTTTAGAAGTGTTGTAGCTGGGAGGAAGCCTGAGCTGATTGTAAGGCCAGAATGGAGCCACATTCAACCACAGCAGGATGCTGCTGAGTTTCTGACATGGCTCCTCGATGCATTGAGTGCAGAGGTTAGACATGGAAAGACTAGCCTGCCCTTAACACCACCTTACTCACCGATAGGGAGTCCAAAGGAGAGAGTTGGCATCAGAACCAGCAGCCCCTGTGCTGATGACTCCTTAAACCTGAAGTATGGGAAGTTAACTGCCAGAAAGTTGTATGATCTGGAAGATGAGTGTGTGACCCTCATCAACCGTGCAAATTCTCTGAAACCGCAAACATACGCAGAGCCACTGAAAACATTGTCTGAAGTTGCTTGGTACAAACATTGCCATCAGAACAACACTGTTGTGGACACATCATTCACTGGTCAGCTGGTAGAAGCCAGACACTGTCTGCTGTGTGGCAAGCTGTCCCTAAGTATGGAGGTGTTCAGTGTGCTGCCTGTTCACATTCCAGAACAGAACTCAATGGCCATCGACTTGGAGACTTGCATAGGGAACCTTGCTAATGTTGAAAACTTGCAGAAGGAGAGTGGCTTCCGTTGTACCTGTGGAGGTGCAGGGACTCAGAACAAGACCTACAGACGACAGCTCAGCGTAGGTGTCTCCTGCGCTACCTTCCAGAGTGCCTGATCATCCAGCTGCAAAGGTTCAACTATGCCACTAAGACACAAGTGCCTGTGAATATTCCCCTCCACAATCTCAATCTCAACAGCCTACATGTAGATAGCTTGTTGCCAGACCCAGACCAGGGGTCACCTGATGACTGTGTGTACAGTTTATATGCAGTCTGCATGCATCTTGGCACCACTCGTGACTGTGGGCACTATGTGGCATATGCACTGTTGGGAGATGGACTGTGGTACAAGTTTGATGATGAAGTCGTTAGGCCTGTGAACAGCATGCAGAATGAGCTACGGTCTGCCATTGTAGAAAGAAATGCTTATATTTTGTTCTATAGGAAGTCTACCAGATAAAGAACATGTTAATCTACTAGTATGTAGGACAGGAACAAATGTTTGCCACTAGTTCATCATTACAGGTTGAACAAAAACTGCTGTTGGAATATCTGTGAACAGGCAGAAGTACACTTAAGAATTAGAAAGAATGTATGAAGATGAATTTCTACATTAAGTGCCATTTTTCTGTTGTGGAAGGATACAAATGCCCAAAGCATTGTTGATAGAAGTTGACTTTCAGACTTGTTTCTGGTAGTGTTTCAGTATGTGTCATTGAAAGAAGCCAAAGAGTTGATCTGTACAAGTGTTCATGCTTAGACTGAGTTGTTATTTCCATGTGAAATGCTGTTTATTATTGGTCAAAACAAATATATTGTCTATAGGATTAGGACTGTTATACTAGTAGCAGTCTGGCCACTATCAGCTGAATCTAAGACAGCAGCCTTTTACAACACTTTGAATACTGCCTTGGACAAGCACTTCCCACAAAAACGCACTAAAGTACATAATAATGACAAACCGTGGATCTCTACAGTAGTCAAATCCCTAATACTGAAGAGACAGGAAGCACACAGATATGGCCATAGGCACCTGTACAAGTTCCTTCGTAATAAGATTGCCCGTCTTATTTCTACCTCTAAGAAAAACTACTATGCTGACCACATAGAACATCTTAAGAAAACCAAACCAGCACAGTGGCACAAAACGATCAGACATTTGGCAAACTGGTCCAGACCGAGTTCAACAATCCATGTACCTGGATTCGAACCGACTAATACATCAGGAGCAGCTCAAGCAATAAACAGTCACTTAGCAGCCATTTGTCAAGCCCTTCCCCCACTTGACTACTCTAGACTCCCTGCATACTTACCAGCCCTACCCCCACCCCAAATCAACCCATGGGACATGTATCAACGACTACAACGTGTTAAAGTATCTAAGGCCCCTGGCCCTGACCTTATCCCACCCAAATTAATCAAAGAGTTCGCATACGAACTCTCCACCCCCCTAACTGATATACTAAACACTTCATTGAGAGAGGGCAGGGTCCCTGAAGTGTGGCGTGATGCCACAGTAATCCCAGTGCCTAAGGAATACCCAGCGGACTTGAACAAGATCCGGCCAATCTCACTGACCGCACAGTTTGCCAAGATCTGTGAGGGTTTTATCAGCACATGGATTTTTTCGGACATCTTCCCAAACGTAGACATAAAGCAGTTTGGTAACATGAAGCGTTGCTCAACGACTCATTGTCTTATAGACCTCCTAAATTTCTTCTATGAGGGAGCTGAGAGGAAAAGCACTGTTGGCACATTAATACTAACTGACTTTTTGAAAGCATTCGATAGAGTCTGTCACACCACTGCCATTAACAAACTTATATCCATGGGCACAAGACCCTCACTGATCCCCTGGCTCTGTAGTTTTGTGTCAAACAGAAGGCAGCGTGTTAGGTATCAGGACTCTATATCGAGCTGGGAAACACTAACGTGTGGAGTGGCCCAAGGTACTCTACTGGGCCCACTGGTGTTCCTCGCCATGATCAATGACGCAAAACCTATACTAATAATCCACACTGGAAGTATGTCGATGACATGAACCTGGGAGAAGTTAGAAATGTGTCAACCCCAACTAAACTTCAGACTGACCTTGACTCATTGGACACCTGGGCCAAACGAACTCCATGTTACTTAACCCCAAAAAATGTAAAGCAATGTATTTCTGCTTCATGAGAACCCCCCCAGTAATGCAGCCACTGACTCTCGGAGGTCAACCACTTAGCATAGTTACACAAGCAAAGTTACTTGGTTTGCACATACGCTCTGACTTACGGTGGTCTGATCAAGTTGACGCCATGGTGTCCAAGGGCAGTAGAAGGTTATACTTATTAAGTAGGCTGCGTCGAGCTGGCCTCCCAAGCTCTGACCTTGTCACAGTGTATTGTGGGTATATTCGACCAATAGTTGAATATGCCACGCCCTGTTGGAATGCGGGTATCACAAAAAAACAATCTGACAGCATAGAAAGAATCCAGAAAAGGGCATGCAGAATCATGCTGGGTAGAAGCTATCACTCGTATTCCGAGGCCCTGTCAACTCTTGACCTCCAACGTCTGTCTGAGCGCAGACTTATCCTGTGCCGGGCCTTTGCCCTTTCAGCTACTAGGTCTAGGCACGCCCCTTGGCTACCTGCAGACAGTAACCACCCACACAACATGCAGCTTAGGCAAACACGGCGATACAAACCACCCAAAGGGACACAAAGATATCTACGTAGCCCGGTTCCCTCAATGTTGCACATATTGAACACCTTGGACTTATAGTAAATTATTTTTATTAATAGCTGTATATGTTGTAATAGTGTTTTATCTTAATATGTTTGTTGTAATCGTTTTTAGCTATATCATGTAATTTTGTAACCGTTCTTGTAACGCCGTAACTTTAACTCAAAAGTGCAATAATCTAGTGCAATAAAAAGTGCAATAATCTAGTGCAATATTTGATGCTTATGCTTAAGTTATGTTAAGTTATGTACACGTTAAATATATTCTACCTGTGTATGCCATTGTAAAAGCTGCCCAATTCAGCCTGCGGGCTGCAATTAGCAACTTATATGTATGCTGTATGTATGTTCCTTTCAAATAAACCAGTCTATATCTGGGCACAATATTTGAGTAAGACCATCATGCAAAACTAACCAAATCTTCAACATATTTCATTATTTGTCTATGACAGATAGGTTAAACTTAGTTCTAGTGTAGAATTATTTTCAGTTGACTGAAAATTTTGGTTTTCTCATGTCATTCATTCTGCATGATGTAAAAATGCAAATCTGTAGTTCAATAAAACAATTATATGATGTTAATGTTACACAAATACCACATTCTTGGGAGAAATTTACTTTAATATACAGTTAAATATAGACTTATTTCACATCATGTTGTGTATATCACATTCATGTAGTATTACATACTCATTGTATTCCATACATGGCTCTGGAGTGTTGATTCAATAAATATTACCAGACTGGATTTGTCCACTTTTGGGGCATGGAACAAAAAGAGAAACAAAATTCTTTCACCTCCTTAAATATCTTATGAAACACTGGCATAAGGTAAATTCCCAAATACTAGTACTCTGACTTTGAGCATACTTCCTTCATCTGTCTTTTAGTACATTACTACTTTTGAGCAAAAAAAAGGTCTTAAGGCCACACCAATTTAATTTCTTGGTTAACGGATTTTTCTAGAAAAATAATGGAGCGGGCGGGCGAAAAAAAATTAAAATAAAAACAGGCCTAGGCATCCTATTATGGCCCAAAATGGTACGATAGGAGCCATGAAGTCAGCACACCAGGCTGGTTCAAAATTTAAACAATGAATTTTGAACTTTTAATGGTAGCACTGCATTGATAGATGGAATAGGTAGTAAGAAAAGGACTGTTTTCAACTGTTCAGGGCAAAATATGAGCATTTTGCAGTTGATTCTGAATTTTTATTTTTATTTGCAAATCAGAAAAAAATGAAGAGGCGAATCCGTTAACCAAGAAATTAAATTGGTGTGGCCTAAGCTTATACATAATTACACAGGTATCAAGGAAATTTTGACTTACATTTCATTTACAAACAGCAATAGATGTGAGTATATGTACCTCCGCGTTAATACAAGACTAGTACATGTACTAGTATATACATCGGGCAGGCAAGATGCACCAATCACTATGATGCTTAGTTAATTAAGTCACATGTATTCAGGAAACCACCATGCCACCCAGGTAAAGCTACTTGAAACAAGTAATGTTTGACAAAAATAACCATTGCACTCATAGCTCACATGTCATTATTTGATTACAATATGTGCATAGGTAGGATATGACTAATCTAATAGCATATTGAGTATATTTTGGATAATGTAGAATCATACAGAATCTTTTGGAGGGTTGCAGGAGTAAGATATCAGAGCTTTTAACAGTTTTATTTTGAATTTTATCTGACAGAATAGAATCTTTTACTGGACATGTCCAGCCAACAATTTTCCCATTGCTTAATAGACATTTCAGATTTAGAAAATAGTTTTTGGAGCTACACACTTAAGTAATAATTCAAGCACAGTTGCAAGCAGCATCTACAATTTAATACTTTCTTGGCACATTTTGGATACTACATTTATACTGATCATGACCCACTGACAGGTAATTCTTAGTTTTAGTGTACTCTTTACTACACAAATAAGTATGTGTATCTGGAGATGCAATAGAGCTTTCCATATACAAAGTTAAGTAGAGGAGATGGTCATGTTAAACCACTGTAAAACTGACACTGAAAACAATAAAATGAGCAGTGTACTATTAAAAATAGAATAAATATGCCATGGCAGGCAGTACGTTAAAGGCAAAATAAATAAAATACCAGTAGCAATCTTTTCATTTTCACCCAAAATAGGCTGGGCAATCCATGGTAAAACTCAATGAACAGAAATGAATTATAGGTCCAACCTATAGATAAAGCATGAGGTCAAATATCTTGTAGGATAAAGGGTAAGGTCCAGACCATCTCTGCTGAACTTTACTAATGGAACAGCCCAAAGTTGCAGTTATAATACTTGAATTCAAAATACTTGTCTTGCTGCTACATGTACCCCTGTTGCTGGTTACACCTCTGACACCACAGCTATGCCCACATCACATCTCTGTGTGGCCATGTTGGACACCACCTCCCAGCTGTCAGTGATGGTGTCATATGCCTCGATGCTGCTCTGTAGTGACTGGCCATCATATCTGTGGGCAAAAATGTGTAGATTAATTTGTTTTGAATCATTGCCTCAATGAGTGTTCTAGCAGCCTGAATTTTTTTCTGTCACTGGGTACTCAATTTCACTTGAACAACTTGAACAGTTTGAAATCTTGACCCTCTGAAACACTATTTCCTGCATTTTTAGGGGAAAATTTTGCTGATATATCTTTAGTATCTATGATTTTTGTCTGTCAAAGATGACAGATTGAACAAAATTTTTGACTGTCATGAGCACGAAATGCCATCAAATTATAGAGAGACGGACGCTGGCTCAAACCCTCCATATTAGAAACACATAAAATTTTGGTCCAGGCTGGTACTATTGTTCTTGAGGGATCTGACCTCTACAGACTGTCAAGAGAATCAAAAAGTCACAACTAACCCTGCTATAGCATACAGTCTCCCCTGCAGTACTGTGGCTCCCACGTAGCAGCGCGCTGACACCATGTTGGCTGCCCGTGTCCACTGGTTGGTCCGCACGTTGAAACACTCCACAGAGTTTAGGTGGGTGCTGCCGTCAAACCCTCCCACCACATAGATGGTGTCATTTATCAGCCCAACACCTGCACCTGCAAGTAGTACAACAGAGCATTTCAAGAGTCTAACTCACAACTGTCTGAGAAATCTTACAAGATATGACTGAAAAGCTGCAACAGCAAACTACATGTACTTTCAACATTTACTAGGTTTAAACGTTGTAACATATGTAGCTGATAAACATGTGTAGCTGATATACTTTTCAGTTAGATACCTGTAAGGAGGGGTGAAAACCAAAGAAACTTCAGGTGTCTTCAATCAAATCAAGGATGTTTTGCATTTCAGTCGTTCTGAAAGAGTTTAACATGCATTCAAAGAAAGAAGCCATACCTGATCTTTTAGTGACCATGGAGGGTAGCGTTGTCCACTGCCCACTGTTGGGGTCATATCTCTCCACTGACCGGAGAATGTGCAGCCCATCGTACCCCCCTATACAGTAGATGGACCCATTGGCTGCAATAAGACCTGCCCCTTCACGGCCTGTGGTCAACAAGTTCCTGTTAGACTACCACAAACAAAGATGAGCTTAATACTGTTTTCATGAAAATAAGAAAAGAGTACTAGCTGGTGATGTTGGAATGCTCTTAGCCCCTCACCATTCTCCATGTCCCCTAACACTGTCCATCTGTCTATCTGAGGATCGTATCTCTCCATACTGCTGTGTCGGTACGAACCATCAAAACCTCCTGCCACGTAGATGTGGTCTGAAACAAAAAAGTACATGTATGTCATCACAGCCTGATTCAGCAGCAGCTCCCTAACCCACATGCATAGCTTTTTGGATGATTATCGTTTCATTAAGTCAATCAACCTTTGTTGGTATAAACAACATGCAACACTTGTTTTTCAATAGTATATGAACTTACCCCCCATCACACATGCTGAGGCCAGCCCCCTCCTGTGTGTCATAGAAGAGATGTTTCTCCATGTCTCATTCTTATGCCGACTGAACATGTGGTAGTCCAGACACTCCACTGTACTGAGTCTGGAGCGTCCGTCGTAGCCACCAATCACGTACACACGGTCGTTCAGCGAGCAGGACGCCACGTACCGTCTCTTCTTGGTTATGGCCTGACCAGAAGAGTAGCACTTTGTTACAAAACATAACTTCACTGGGATATTTGGAATTCTACCTTTTCTACGGAAATAATTGATCGATTGATGATGAGGACATGGAATCACTTGAATCAAAACACACTGCATATACGCTATAAAGGATATACATGTATGTGTATACATGGAGGTCAAAGTAGATAATGGAAACAAATCAGAATATGTTCAACAGGGTAAATGTACAAAAGGACTTCATACTGACAGGAAGAAACTCCCACTCTTCAGTTTTAGGGTTGTATTTTTCCACTGTGTCCACAGGAGACTGTTGACTGCCAAAGCCTCCAATCACCAACATCACTTCACTGGCACCTGCAGGACAAAAGTTAACGACATGCAGAATCAAGATATATGTAGGTCAACAGAGTTCTGCTTTCACTACCACAAAATCAGACATATGGCTACAGGCAATGACAGCCTGTGTGACTGTCACGTTACCCTGACCTGTTCTGGGTTTGGTCTGTGGTCCCTGCATCTCAGCTCGCAGCTCTGGTCTCAGGTGGAACCTCTTGGCTACGTCCACCAGATCCCGACACTCCAGGCTTCTTTTGATCAGCATCTAAACAGAACAACAATACATGTACTTTATCTATGAAAAAAACAACAGTGTTTTAGACATAACCCAAAATCATAGCTATCAACAGTAACTTTACACAATTATCAATTCAATCCAAAAGTTTAAATTCATCCACTCTGTAGACATGTCCTCATTTCTGTGAAAAACATTGTACATTCCTGTAACATTCTTAGGGTGTGGGTTTTATGAACACGCGAGATAAAAAATGTACCTCCTTGTCCACCACATCAGTGATGTATCTGGGTGTGAGGAGGGGCAGTCTGACAGACTCTAACAGCTCCGGGAGGTACGGCTTTCTGCCCTCCAGTCTGTGCTTCACCCACTGCATCAGGGCCTCAAACACTGGCTCTTCTGATGGCACCTGGCAGTAGGATAGGGAGAGAGAACCTCTGAGACAGAACACTTGTAAAATGTAGTGAAAGATGCTTGCTGCTTTTGTAATCTATTACAATTATTGAAATGTGCAACAACTTATGCTGTTTCTACAATGCTTGAAGTGGACAGATACCCTGACTACTTGTACAGCCCAGTATATGCTCACAAGTTTGCATCAAGATAGCCTGCACGTTTACATTCTATGTACTGTATAACGTTACAGCATGCCCAACAAATCATTAGACTGTCTAATTGTGAACAACTAATCACTAATGTCTGGACTAATGTGTGGGGAGATCTAAGAAAACATTTGTCTATTCTGTTGCAAGTGTCAAGTTGATTTGTACCTGAATCTCATCACACTTGAGTAGTTTTTCCACATCATCCTTCTCCAGCAGGAGGAACTCTTCATGCTGCACCACGTCTGAGAAGTGCCGGTGGGTGTGCACCTCTGCCGCCCGGCGCAGGGACTGACAGGTGTGCGCGTCGGCAAAGCTCATGATGCCCAGGGAGTTGGAGGGATCTAACTGGCTCTCCAGAAAGTCACAGCAAGCTTCCTTCACACCTGGAGAACAGATGATAGAACCATCAAGCACAACATAACCAACTGGAGAAAATCCAATTTCATGCCTTCAGAAATTGGTAGAAACTACACAGTACAATATCCCCATCCCTCTATCCCCATCCGTCTATCCCCATCCATCTATCCCCATACCTATATCCCCATCCCTTTATCCCTATCCCTCTATCCCTATGTAGCTGTGGTTTTACAGTACCTTTCAGTTGTAAGAGACAGGCAGCAGGCAGGAGATCCTGTACATTCTCCACAGTCACATTCACGGTCTCTGTGTACACGAAGTCCAGCAGGATCTCCATCACACGTGGAGACAGGCCCTGCAGCTCCACTGATGACTGGCTTTTTTCTGACATCTTGGGAGGAATTCAAGCGCATACAAAATCAATCTCTCAGCTTCAAATACCACATGTTTGAGTCAAAGCTGGCCGGTGAGATAAACCAATCTGCAAATTCAGACTAATCTATGGAAATTGTCATTTACTCCTTTTGAGTGTTCAAAAGCAACATAGGCACCTTAATAAAGAGTTGTCCCTTGACTTCTATCCACATCTAATGCCTTGAAATGGCAAAAAAAAGAAGATACGTACCTCATTTGTAAACATGGCACAGAAATAATCGCTTGCGGCTGCGAGCACGATCCGATGTGCCGGGAACTCCTGTCCCTTCACCACTAACATGATGTCACACAGGGTTTCCTTCTTACGCAGGGCGTTCATCTGTACCAGGAGTGACTTAGCGTAGCTCTCGCTGGGCAGGATGTTCTTGATGTTGACCGTGGTGGTTGAGTCGGGGGCGGGGATGTCTTCTGCAGTTGATGTTGTAGCTGCAGCTGCTGCCATGTTGGAGGGTGTTTTGTAGAGACTTCCTTCCTACTCTAAATGTTGGCAAACAGTTGACTGTATTGGAAATAATGGTTCTGGTAACAAGAGAGAGAATCTTTCAAAGTTTCCTGTTAAACACTGTGACGAATCAACACTAGTCACCATAAACAACAAGGTAACGTTACAGATTTCCAAAACACTGTTTCCTTCAATAAAGATCTTACACCTACATGAAATATTTAGTGCTTTTGTAAATTTTTGTTCATTAATTAATTAATAAGGCTGTAACGTTAACTAGCATTATCTATGTTAAATGATGGTGACAGGTCTTCTTTACCAAAATGATACCTGTCTGCCTGTCAGTGTCACAATTGGTATGTCAATGATTATTTTCAAGGGTATTCCAACATTTTTCATTGTATAATATATTGCACTGGTAATACCACTCACAAACGTTTTACCATCTCATCGTATTTCAAACAAAAACTTGTCATATCACAGTTATCACGGCTACCTCTTCATCAAACCTCGATAGGTCAACAAAAAATGGTGGATCAGTTGTGGCATCTCCCAATACTCTGGAGATTCCCCTGATCATGAACATGACATCATACAAACACGCCCCTCTTTCGAAACTTTGATTGAAAACAGAGGATCAACCGATGTTGACAACATATTCTTTTGAAAATAACGTTATAAACAGACCACATTTTATGACAAACGTCACCAAAATGTATTGATGGAACATATGATTACCTTTAAGAGCCTTCAGAGGTAAAACTTTCCGACGCACAGGAGAAAATACTGCATTATTTACCTGACGTCAATATCCGCAAAATGGCGTCAGCTGAGGGTCAGAGGTTAGAGCAAGTGATATGGAATCCTCCAGAGTAGGGGTGAAGCTTAATAAATAATTATTGAAAGACGTTATTGAAAATACAAGATTTCTACTTTTAAACCAATAGCTGCTTTTTGCCGTTAGATCTATCATAATTTATTTGATAATACTGTAAAGTATACATCGTATAAAACCTTCAAAAACTCCTAATACCTTTTTCAGATGGTTTCGCCCAAGTTGCTATTCATCTTTACCCTCTGACCTTCAGCTGACACAACAGATCAGCTCAGTTTCCCACGTTCCTAAATATCCTGATCAATACATATTTAGCTTGTAATAATCCGAGGATTTCTGCTTCATACTATGTAGTATTGTCTGTGGGATTCTTGGGCCTAAGTACCCTTTTGTATTTTAAGACGTTTACTAAGTTTATAACGACTTCCTTGAGTCTTGAAGAGGTTACCTTGAAGATGCAGGCCGCTCGGAGGTATTTCAAGTCGTTTGCCAGCGGGTTTGTCGTGGCCGTGCCGGTAACAGTCACCTTTCTGGACTATGTAGGATACGTGGCCAGGGTGGAGGGAGCATCTATGCAGGTAACATTTGATACTGATAGTATCTAAAAACCTTATATGGTTACACCGTTAATTAATGAAAACTGTTACTTTAATATCGATCTCAGTTAACTTAAATTCAATATAGATCAGGAAAATCTTTAAATACACTAGAAAAACGCCACATTCATATAAACACAGGACGCCTTATTGAGACTTAATTTCTAATGGCATTTTTTTCTCTATCATTAGCCTTTCCTGAACCCAGAAGACAGAAGTTTCAATGATGTTGTGCTTCTAAATCGATGGAGTGTTCGAAACTTCAAGGTCAACAGAGGAGATGTTGTGTCATTAGCGTAAGTATATCATTATCAATGTTGTTCTTGTCTGAAGTTCCATTTATCATCTATTCTATCGCTAGACATGGCAGGATCCTGTTGATGTGCAACTTAATGGAATTTTTTGATGTGTGCTATATAGTATATTGACGTGATAACTCTTATGATAAGTTATGTTGGAAGAGAATTTTGTATTAGATCAGCTTCTCTTGTCAAGATGTAGTTCTCTGCCCAATGATATTACTGCTGTCAAGGAGGATGCAGTTTGTTGTGATATTGGTAGGTGGCGTCCTTGTACCATCTCTTCAGCCCTGTTCTTGACTGACTGATAAAATGAACACTTACATATTAACTACATGTATGTATAAACTGGTGTCAATTTTCATCACTTTCTTCTGCAGGCTGTTTGGTGTACTAGTAGATATGGGTAGTACTAGGTATTGTATTAGCTTTCACCTATGCCAGTTGCTGTTCCTTTTTTTTCAATATTTTACTATTCAGAGGATTCAGGAACATAAAATTTCTATTTTACTTCTCCATTGTACTTGAGCACTGCAGCAATCTTTCAAGTACCATAGCTGTTGTCAATAGAAACCTTGAAACCTGAATGATAAATGATATGGTGAACATTTTGACTTTCCGGTCAATGCACACCTTGTCAATACATGTGATGGGTATTGTCCTTGGTGCTGATAAGATATTTGTTGCTGTCATTCTTCAGATCTACAAGGTGATGAATCAAAGAAAATTTGCCTCTTCCCCTCTATTGTGCTTCTGGATCAATAAATATGATTGATGTTGCCCTTGGTACTGAATAGCTCTCTTTTGGGAGCGTCTGAGTCAGTAATATTTTTCATCCTATACCTTTCTTTCCCAGTTTCTTGCTGTCTAATCATGACTCCTACTGCTAATTACTGTACACCACCTGGTGCCAGGTAGCTGTTTACATGTCTTCGGCTGTCACTGGAGGTCCTGAATGCCATCTCAGACCTTTTGCAAAATGCCATCTCAAATTGCCTTGAGGTACATTCAGCTGTCAAGTTCGTTGTAACTCATCCAAAAGTAGCATGCAATTTTGTATGTTCAAGTTTTAAGAATCAAAACCACAGCTTCAATACATTGCTTTTCATTAGTTACTGGGTTACATGCGTATATTATATGATAATCGAAAGACATATGTTTTAAAATGCCTTTATTTCAAGACAAATCTATGAACTGAAATGTCAGCACATGTTGTCTTTCCTTTCCTTTAACATTAATATATTTGAACATGTACACTATATCTGTACAATATGCATCATTCTATTCAAAGACATGTACGGTATACAACGTAGCTGTCACCAAAACCTGATTCTGTTATTGAAGGAAATAAACGTTTTCTTTTAAAAATAGCCATTTTCTATTTAAAATTGGTGATGTAGACAGTGTAGTTTTTGCCTAAAACTATATATAGTCTTCTTTCAGACTTATTCACCTGATAGCCTTGTTAACAGATTTTGTTACAGCCAACAGTGAGAATCAACACAGATTTTTATATTAGTTATAACTGTATACTACAGTATAGTTCATAGTCAGACTAATATTAACAATTGTCAAAACTAAATTGAACTGGGTATTGTTTATACCAATCTAAGAAACAGAAACAATTTACTTTATACACAACTTGTACATTAAATATATATTGTAATACATATCCGTGACTGTTATAATCAATGTAACATTACTGCACAGAATAAGCTAGAGCTGACAAACAAAGTTACAAACATAGTCACTACAGTAGTGCCGGGTACATCAATCTCATAGCATGAGCAGTAGCAATCATTCTGATGTCTATGAACTCAAACACCATTTAAAGCTTTTCAGTTTTTGATTAAAATTCTTTGACATTTTGTGATGCTTTGCACAATGAAAATATATGGAAAATGCATTCATCAAGGTAGTTTCCTTCCTTAAACTGAAATGTAATCTAGCGGTAAGTAGAGTCAACCTTTTCCACCTTCCACTCAAATACAGCACTTACAAGTCCCTCTTTCCCATACAAAATTTCATTTTTAATTTCATAGGCTCTGTTCTGTGTTTTAAAGCCAAAATCTTTTGAAATGGCTTAAGAATGTAAACTTACAGTGCTTTCCTACAGGGCTGTCTCTCTCGTGCCCCTCTCTGCTGAACGTTACTCGTGGTGTGCATACAGACACTTAACACGCCACAAAAGATACCGGCTCATTTTTCAAAAGTCCAGGTATCTAGACAATTTGTCAGCACAGTATGTGATGCATGGGACCTGTCATGGCCTGATGACAGGAAGCTTTATTAGTATTCAGTTAGCAATAACTTGTAGGTGTGGAACACACTTAAGTCTTGCATACTACATCGATTTTGAACAAATGGAAAATAAGGAACATCATCAAATATTAAACAGCCATATGTTCTGGTGCCAGGACTCAGTCAGGAGTTTTATATGTGGAAGAAAAATTATTCAATCATATGCAGTAAAATCCATTTTCAAATACACACAATCCTGAAAATCATCCAACATTCAAAAGTTTCTTAGTAATACATGTTTTGTGCCATTTATTTAAACTTTGGAATATGTACATCAAGATTGGAGGGGACCGAAATAAGGCTTCTTGATGAAAAATGGATATACATTGTACATCTGTCAAGGGCATGTGTGTAATGACAAAATTTTTGTTGGCCCACTTTTAATTCTAACAATTTTAAGGCCTCATCATTTACTTGTTTATTGTTGATTGGTGGTGCATGATTTGCTATCACCACTTAATATGTTCTCGCAGAAACAAGTACATGTAATGTGGTGGTACTAGAATCAAGAATAGGAGATAGTGCAGTCGGGTCATCATCAGTTATTTCACAAGGTAGCAGAGCAGGCCTTGTATCTTTATCAGGAATACGAATGGTCCAAGAAGAATCAAAGGTAGCTGTTGTCAGAAAATTACAGCATTTTTTCCTTCAACTATTTTCCTTCCACTGACCAACATGTCCGTATACTTTTCATCTGTTGCATTGTCTTGAATTTTGTTCTGTCTTGAGTGAATTTTATTTAAAACGTCCTGACCAAATTTTCTTTATTTCTGGAAAGCTTCCCTATTGAAGGTCTATCCCTAAAGGATCTCTGTAGAAAGGCATATACATAGACTATTTTCCAAAAGAATAAGCTATAATATACACATTATCTCATCCCTCCCGCTATCATGCATCCACACTGTTGTCTCTGCCCCATAATGACGTGGTGATGGGGCTGTAGAGGTCTGTCAGGGGGATGGAGGTGATGTCGTGGATGTAGTGGTGCATCTCTGCGCGGTGGTAGTGTCGCACGCGGTACTTCCTCATGCCGTACGACACCAGAGCCAGCAGCAGCCCCACCGTTACCATGCCGCCCATCACCATGGCGATGATGAGGCCGACCTGGCTGGGCGGCGACATCGCCTGTTTGGTCGTGGCCGTGATGCAGGTTCCCTGGTGGTGGGTGTGGAAGTCGGCCACGGTCAGACAGACCTTGTAGTTGGTGGAGGGGACCAGGTTGGTGAGGTTGTAGTGCTGCACCTCGGGCGGGATGAGGGCGCGGTACGTGACGTGTACACCGCCGACCATCATCATGGCGGTGTACTGCAGCAGGTAGGCCTGCACGCGCTGCACGTACGGAGACTGCCAGCTCAGGTGGATGGAGTGGGTGGTGATGTTGGAGGCTGACAGGTGGAACAGCGTGTTTGGGCTGGCGCTCACGTTCAACAACATCGTACGGCTGTCTCCGTCATAACCGTCGTTGATTGCCACACACGTGTAGTGGCCGGTGTCATGAACCTACATGTGCAGATAGATAATTGTATAAGAGTGTATTCTGCTGTATGAGGCATTAACAGGTTAGCTCTTACCATTATAGTTAATGATAGCCTTTAGCTACTTAGGCAGTCTTGACTACATTGTATTACAATGTAGTCAAGACTGCCTAAGTACCATGTATGTATCTCACTTTCTTTTTATCGGCTTAATTAAATTAAGCCAATAAAAAGAAAGTGAGATACATACATGGTAGGTAAAAGGAGAACAGTGCTGTTCTGTTTCTTTTGTATATAAGAAGTCTTTAATTCAATGTTGTACAATAATGGAAAGATATAAGAAGTCCTCTGATGATGAGACCTCTAGTAACAAAATAGAATACAATCTCAGTCTCACCTGCACTTTTGACATCTCCAGAGTCCCCTCTTGTGTGAGCTTGATCCGTGGTGAGGTGTTTCTGCTTGTGAAGCGGTCTCCATTAGGGAGTACCCAGTAGATGTTCGGCTGAGGTTCCCCCATAGCTCTACAGTCCAGGGTTAGGTGTGCATTTTGCTTCACAGTGAGGTATGAAGGGAAGGTGGGCTGGATGATTGGCATACATCTTCTCATCATCAGATCTGGAATCAGGCTCCCTAAGTCCATTCCATGGTACTCTGGCGGTGAGTTGCAGATCAGGTTTTTTCTGTCCAGGTAGCTGATGTCGGTGACGTTGATGCCAACCCAGCGCATGAGGCAGTCACAGCGGAGAGGGTTGCCCTCTAGTCTGACTTGTTTCAGGCTGGGCAGGCTGTGCACGATGTCTTCATACAGCGCTGTCAGGGCGTTGTTGTTCAGGAGAAGGATTTCCAGGTTGTGGAGACCTCTGAAGGAGTCCTGATGTAGGTATGATAACATGGGGTTGTGTGAGAGCTCTAAACGCCGCAGGTTAGGCAGGTTTTGAAAGGCCCCGTTGTCGACAATGGTCAGCTTGGGCATGTGGTTGAGCTGCAGCTGGACCAGCTGCGGCAGCTTGATGATCTGGTGGGAGGTGATCTTTACGATGGGATTGTAGTCCAGTTCCAGGAACTGTAGGCTCGGCACTTTTTGTATAGCTGCTGATGGCATCTGGAAATGTTAAAAATCATAAGCCAAATCAGCTATGTCTATGAAAGATTTGATAAGTTGAAATTATACCCTTTTTAAAGTTTTAACCAAAGCATGTCATTAAAAATTTTCTCTTGTGGATATTCTGTAAAATATTACATATAATGCCAAAGTTTATGTGAGCAACAAGCAATAAGAGTAAGTTTTTTATCCCTTTACAATGTACAGGAACTTTATTTTTAGGACCTGACCTTCATGAATCTGTTGTTCTGCAAGTGAAGACTGCGCAGGTTCTGCAGTCCATGGAACACCCCGGGTGACAGATCGACCATCCCTGCACCTGACAGGATCAGGTGTTCCAGGTTGTAGAGAGGCTGGAAGTTGCCGTCCTCCAGCATCGTGATGGGGTTGTCTCCAACGTGGAGGATCTTGAGCCGCGGGACCTCCTCCAGCCACCCTCTCCCTACAGACGTCAGGTTGTTGCCGTTGAGGTTGAGCTGCTGCAGGGCCTGGAGGCCCATGAAGGCCAGGTCATCCAGCGAGGTGATCTGGTTGTAGTCCAGGTGAAGTTCCCTCAGGTTACTCAGCGGTAGGAAGTCCTGACTCTTCACACCGGAGATCCAGTTCTGCTGCAGCTGCAGTTTCCCCAGCTGCTTCAGGCCAGTGAACCAGTTCTGGTCGATGTCAGAGATGTCGTTCTGAGACAGATCCAGCTCGGTCAGGTTCTCCAGAGGACTGAGGCTGTCTCCCAGGCTGGCTATGTTGTTGACCTGCAGCAGGAGGACCTCTGTGTCCAGAGGCAAGCCTGGCGGGACGGCTGTGAGCTTTTGGTTGCTGCAGTCCACTGTCTTAGCATTGATGTAGTGAGAGGAGTCGGTGAGCCTTTCTCGCAGTTCACATGCACAGGATGGGAGAGGACAGGTGGTGTTCCAAGGCTTGCCAGAAATGTGGGGTAGAGAGCAAAACAGGAGGAGGGCAGCAAGGTGCAGAGTCTGGAGAGTCCCCATCTCCATCATTGTCTGTATGGCTGATGACCAAGCCTTACCTGCATGAACAGAAGAAATTTATTTTTTAAAGGTAGCAGATGTCAAAATGTGTGTGGAGCAGTTGCTACAATAAAATAAACAAATGGTAGATGGTAGAATTTTGTTCACAGTAATTTAGTTAAGATTTGATATTAGGAAACAGTTTCACTTCACTTGTACTGAAATACAGGTACAGTTGGACAACAACTTATCAAACTACTACACTAAGTAGCTCCCCTGTGTGTTCTATGTGCTTTTTGTCTGGCTAATTGACTTCACATAGGGGCAAGTCAATGTAATTCTTGAATCTGTTTCACTCTTTTTTGAATCTTGGGTCAGATTTAGAAGCATCTGTTTCAGCCCATGAAGATTTCAATGTCAATGTCTCCTTTTACTTTTAGTATTCACATTAGGATTTTATATGGCATAGCACATTCACCTCCACCCTTTGAAACTCTGGAGAGGAATCGTAAATGATACCAATATTACATGCTGAGCTCTCCTAATGAGAACATCACAGGAGACCCTGCTAACCCTGTGCCTCAGACAGAGACATGCCCTGGCCTGCTGTAAACTCCCAGGGAAACCAATCAGACGCAAATGGTAATGGAGGCGGCAGCCCAAACCAGCCTACGGCGTCATTACTGCCTGTACAGCATAGAATCAATAACTTAGGGTTCCTATATATTGACAACGCAGTTACATTGATTTCAGAGCCCTAGGAGCATGTGGGGCAGTAAATATGATCAGAGCTGATTGTGTCATTAGAATTACTTTACATTTCCCAGTATCTCATGTGAGTTGGCTGATAGTTCAGATCCAGGAGGTATCACATAATTTATACAACCATCTGTCCTGAGTCATATCACATGGACAAGTTTCTGCACATTATTAGCTTTGGATATAAAGTTGCACATGTGGAAGTCATTTTAGATTATAACAATTGGTGCGTCCTTAAAAGATTGGTCATGTCATGCCAAATGATGATCACATACTACTTTTTTTGTCATAAACTGCCACATGAGAAGTACAAAATGTAATTGCAAACTATCAACAACTGAAGGTCAGATCAGTTTGGTTCAAGGGGAAAGTAATAAGTTTGCAGCAGACCTGGGCATGTCCTGTGTGCTGATGACGTACATCAATAAGCCCCACAGGCTAAAGGTTATTGTGGCAGATATCACTGCCAGTCTGTCTGATTGCAGGGAAAGACCTGAACCTGGCCAGTGGCCACCCTCTAATTAGAGTTTAAAGATTATCTGCTGGAGGAACAGCAGATTGTCGTAAGTTTGTGAGATCAAAGATCAGAGTCTTGCTACAATATGACTACTAGTACTACTATTGCTGTAAGTTAATCCTTCATTTTTCCAGATTTGGCACAGCATTCTTTGGGAAACATTCATTCATAAACTTTGTGACAAAATTTCCTATAGATTTGCAAACAAGAAACATAAAATTCTTAATTGTGTTAATGTGGTTTTAAATGATTATCAAACTAAATGATTGTAAACTTTTAATGTTTAATGCATTGTCTTGTATTGTTGTATTGCCATTAACTGCTGCCATTGTATGATTTTCTTGTCATCTGATGTAAATGAACCATTCATTTATATAGACTGGTTTATTTCGAAAGGAACATACATACAACATACATATAAGTTGCATACAACATACATTTATTCATATATTAGGTAGTACAGGTAGACATCTGCAAGTACTAAAAGCCATAAATTCCCTTCCACCTGATGTGTTTAAGGTGGGAAGGATAGTGACCTGAATTAAATGCATTTCTTTAGAAAGGCTTTGCAGCTTCACAAACTCTCCCCTTAAACACTTGAAATGACATGCCCTTTCCCTTAATCTCCACCCATCTAGATAAGCATGACCTGAAAGTATATCTCATTATTTTATCATATAAGCTTAACTAGTAAGCAAACTTATAGCACATGGACAAATATGGCACCATGCTTAATTGCAGACCATTTAGTGAATGACTTACTTGACTCTTGGTGACGCCTTTTCCATTTCATCAGAATGATCTGAATGCTGACGGTCAGTAAGGCTAGCTTTGTAAATCAATCCTCAGTTTGTAGAATCCAAGTAAAGCACAACTAAGTCTCTTAAGTCCAAGAGGTTTACACATAAACCTTGGCACCAAAGTGGCAGCAAAGCGTAATTACAATCGACACAATTTGGTAGATTTATGCAGGAGGGTTTGCTGAGTGCGCAGGCCACGGCAGTCTGTGTGCCAGCAACACCATTAGTTCACTGTAAATGATTTCCTTATCAAGATGGGCAGTCCAATTTCTCCCACTGAACTTGGCAATCTGTGTGTGTCATCTCTGGATTGATTCCAGTTTGGTGAATGGTGGACAAACGACATGTTACTCTGACTAATGAATTATGGGTCAGCCACATTTAATCGTTTCTTGAGATAGACATCATGGAATGTGGTATTTTTAGCCTCCGAAAGAGATGTTTGTCTTTTCCATTAAAACTGTGGAGTGCTTTAATTTGTTGACCTATAAGGGTGTGATGGTAGAAAATGTCCCTATTAACATGTTTACATATAGTAGATGACACAACCACATAATTATGTGGTGAGCAGCTTATACTGAGTGTAAACTTACTGCACTGTTCAAGCCTTAAATATGTTCAGTTACCGTGCAATGAATTATATAAGGATGTAGGCCTGCTAGAGCCATGGCAATTGGATTACTATACTGTGCTTCTCAACTTTGCCATTTCTACATTGTGCTTCCAATTCAGCAGAAAAAAGATAATTTCCCCATTTCTCTTCCCTCCATGCATAAAAGTTGTATAAAATACAATTAAAACTTTTGGCCATCCTCTTCGCAAGTTATTGTGGAAACCTGACCCCCTTGCAAAGGCCATGTCATATCAGAGGTAATTGTACGGCAACCTTTTGACAAGGTGTGGCTGGCTTGGGTGAAGATGATAGACCTTGCACTTGCCTGTATGGCAACATGGTATGGCGTACATGCATATAGTGCGAGAATCAATAGATTGAAACATACTGTTACCAGTTGAATGTTACATTGGGAGTTTTCATCCATTCAGCTAGCGTAGTGCCAAAATGCAAAATCAAGACAACTGCAGAAGTGTCCAGTTTCATACACAATTGTACCCTAAATTTTCATATTAGAATCCAGAAAGGAACTTGGTGAAAAATCATTATTCTGGTATGCCTTAATTGGCGTGAGCCTTCGTAATATAAGAATCTTTGAGAAATATAATTGTGACAAGTGTATTTCCTAGCACTGCTACCTTCTTCAATGTCACTTTCCAATTTTCCTAGGACCATTTGCTTTATTCCAAATCGATATGACGGGTTCCAAGCCTGTTTTGTTCTGACAAGCCAATCTCTGCTGATGGATTGCTTGATCTTTTATCTCGTTACAATATCTTAACCTGCAAACCAGATAATAAGCCAGGATTTAACAAACATCCAGTAACAACTAGTGACCTATGAAAATAGAAGATGACATTAATGTTGTGGGTTGTGAAGAATTACTCTAGAATGATACTTATCTTTGTAACCAGCCCTAATCTTAACAGCACAGCAGCACTCCTGGCTACAAGGTCATTTCCACGGATTTAGGTAAAGTTGAGGATTGAGGGATGGTTACAAAACAACGTTGTTTCCAAAAAGACTACATGTATGTACAGAGTACATATAACTGTAAGTTACGAAAAATTACCAGACTGAAAATGAAGTCCAAAATCACATGTCTTGATTTACATGATATTATACATTATATGACTGCTAAAGGTTTGAGATGCATCTACATAATCAAATATAAATTAAGTATAAACTTTATCTTGACTGTTTAAAAGACTGTTACTGTATTGATTTTACATAATATATTATGAGGCATACAGATTGGTGATGAAGATTTATTTCAGAATAAATTAGATTCATAGAATCATTCCTAATGATATTTTAAACCTACTGGTACAGTAGTAAATCTCTATTCAAGGCTTGAGATTGTTTTCATTACATGTACTTTTCGAATCACTACAATTGTAATATGTTATGATACATGTAACAACGCTCAAAATGATACATTGCTGGTGTTTTCTCTGTGGCCTAACACAAGATACATCAAAGTAGGATTTCTCCGAACACTCATGTTGAGGAATAGACAGGTTTTAAGTGAGGCTCATGTGTAGAGCTGTTCTGTAGAGTGACATATTGAGATGTTTTAACCTGGCATTTCTGTTGTCTACTGATAAGGCCCATAGAGCCCAATTTAGAGTAAATAGAGGATACCGGTTGTTTCTGTGATGACATGCTAGCTCAAGCAGGAATTCAAGGCCATTCTCAGCTTCCCAATGATCTGAAAGTTGCAAGTGCATAGGAGCGATAAAACTTCTTCGTTATTGTAGCATCAATTTTCTCTTTGTGATGTAAAGAAACTGTCAACTCAATAATGAGAGCCATAGTTTAAAAGATGGCCTAAAGTACTTGAAACATTTATACATGTAATAATTGGTAAGGACTTCTGAGAGCTTTATTCTGAAGACATCTAAAACTTTTAAATCCTTGGATTTCTTCACTATGTAGGTGTAAGAAAAATTCTAAAAACGTTTCCTTGATCATCCAAGTGCCACAGGCTGATTGAGACCACCAGTACCAATCAGCTCTGACACGGGAGCGTTAATGGATTTAGGACTCTTGCCCAAGAGAGATCCTCCAAGTGGAGCCAAACAACACACAGAAACCGGCAATAAATCAATGCTGGTAATTCAATCTTCTTAGCATTGACGGCCAAGTCACCCTAACAAAAGTACTCTTACCCCTTTGAGAATTCCTAACTTTGGCAGAGTAA